GAGGGAGTGTTTGGAAGCCTCAGTAGTTGGAAAGGTTTCTCATTAACACTTTACTCATTTCTATATTGTTCACAGTCATAATTCACACTGATTGATCTCACTATAAGTCACATCTCTACCAACCCTGACAGAACAAGAAACAAAAAAGGAAAATAAAATGAGATTATCTATAAAGGAATGAAGCTAATAAACCACATAGTTCTCCATTCCCACTTCCTTCTATGGTTATTGTTGCCTTTAAGGCTGGAATATAAAGGGGGAGGGTCATTTTACCCCCCCCCCCCCCTGCAGCTCAGCTACACTGTTGCCTCGTGCACAAGTCCATCCGTGAGTGTGAATCAGGAGTGCACCCCGCCCGTCTGCAGCGCTGCTGTCATTGTGACAACCGCTGGAAAGCAATTAAAGGGCTGACATGAGAAGAAACTGCTCCCATGAGTGGCTCCTCCACTCCACTCTCATTTTCCCCTCCTCTCATCTCTGCCCTCTTCTTCTGGCCCCGCCGCCGCCCCCCCACTGTTGTTAAGACATTTCACAAGTCAGTAGGAATCTGTCTCTCTTCTTCACCATCAATGGAGGGAATGAATTAATTAATAGGCCTTTCTTCCTGCTGTCACCTCTTCTGGTGATGCAAGGATCACATTCAGACGGAACTTTTCTACAGAGATGGAAAGAAAAATAACGTCTCCTGCAAACATTCGGCTCATCGCTGATGAACAGGAAGAGTCCGAAAGCATCAGTGGCTCTTTGGAGGTTTGCTAATTTCATCAGGATTTCAGTTAGAACTCAGAAAAAAGGTGAAAAAGGTGAAAAAGGTGAAAAAGGTGAAAAAGGTGACAGATTATTTCATTAAAAATAGAGAAAAATGTATCGTAACCTGCTTTAAGCACTTTAAGTGCAACTTTCTTTAAAGAAATGAGCTTTTTTAAACTTTGTTAAACCTGTCAGCCAAACGCGGCTTTCCTTCGCCGCGGCGGTCGGATGTGTTTGTTTCAACACGGCGTTTCCGGCCAATAATCATAATCTGGACTGATCTGATCTAAACACCTTCTGCTGTTTCCAGGACATGAGTTCATGTCACTGTTTGTTAATAAAGACCCGATGTGACAAATCGATGACTCATAGATTCTACGACCATGGCGTGACATCTGGGGGGGCAAAGGTTGCGGCGCATTTTATCTAGGGCGACGGGAGGAAAGGAGTTTCCTTCCACGTCACGCTGGCTGCTCTCTACCTGTTTATTGAATAGCAGTGGACACACACACACACATGTTGTGTCACAATATCCTTGTGGGGACCTTCCATTCATTTCCCACTAATTTCTATGGCCTAACCGTGACCTTTGCCCTAACCCTAACCATTACCGACACATACCTATCCCTAAACCTAACCTAAACTCAATTCACACCTTAGTCCTAAACCTAACCCCCACCCCAAGAAGAGAAACTTTCCTTATGGGGACCAGTTGTTGGTCCCCATAAGTACCTATGAGTCCCCAAAATGTAGCATATTCCTAGGAAATTGTCCCCACCAGGTATTAAAGACATGGCCACACACACAGGCTGGGAGCTGAATGGTGAAGCCTGATAGTGTAAACATGTGTGTGTGGGTACCATCTATGTGTTTTTTTAACCCCCCCAGCATGACTCATAAAGTCACACCTCTGTGGTGAACAGAGGCGCCGTGCTTCATTCTTTCCTCGGTTAGGTTTTGTTGACACACCTGCAGCTGTGCTTCATCTGGCCTCACCTTGCTTGAACGTGTAGATGGTGTCGCTCGCAGACAAGTTGGTGCTGGTGACAAAGTTTTCACGGTTGGAAGCCTCCACCTCCACTCGAGACCAGCGCTCCAGGTTGCCATGGAAACCACTCACCTCACCCGTGGGTAAGGTGATGTTGGTCACACGCCCCTCGCTGCTGTACCTGAGGACATGAGCAGAAAACCATGAGCACACACACACACACACACGCATGCAGATAAGCGCGGCTCTCAGCCGTCATCCTCCTGCAGGCACACATCCATGCTCCCTTTGTTTTCCTCCATCTTTTATTGGCACGGAGTGGATGTCAACTATGATTTATAAGTGTAATTACCCAGCTGTGGAGTTTGAGACAGAGACTGAGCTGCCACTGGTGAATAATTCACACCGATTTGCTTTAGTGTGTGCACAGTATGTACAGAAGCAAACATGTATGTGATCAAAATGTGCAGAGATGCTTCTCAGCCCTACAGATAAAAAAAAAAGCTAAATTCCTCCATAAAGTTCCCTCCACAGAAGGAGGAGATGCTCAGCTGACCACTAGATGGCACTCATACTTCATAACATCCCTGTGAAGCTGTCAGAATAAAAAGGGACATATTCAGCGTTAATCCAGGAAGCAGTTTAGATCTAAAGTGGGAGCTCACTCATAAACTGTGGTCCAGCTGTTCTCGTCGCTCTTGGTGGACAGCAGGCCGCTGTTGCCGTGGTAGGAGATCTGGGCGAGGTCGTGACCCTGGGCCGAAACCTTCCTCAGCATCCCGCTGTTGCTGAGGGACAGCCAGTAGACCTGTCCGCCAGGGAGCGCCAGCCACAGCGGGACCCCGTGAGCGTCCCTCCTCACCTGGACGCTGCGGCCGTCGCGGCTCGTCAGCCCCGACAGCTGGCCGTCCGTCCCGTAGGAGAAGTTGTACAGGAAGTGTCCAGTGATGAGGTGTTTGGTGAACATGTGGGAGCCGTTCTGTCACACAGAACCAGAGACGTCATCACAGCATCTTTTAGACATTACTGATTTATAGGATTAAAAAACCATCCCACTGATAGAACTCATTTCTTTACATCATAGATTTAAATGGAGCCTAATATAGTTTCATGTTTTTCTGCAGAATCAGTGTCTGGGAGGATGATTCAGTTAGATCTTCCTTTATTCTAATCCTTTTTATTTAAATTGTATTCCTATCGAAATGTGGAAAGTAACATTTAAACAGTTGTGAATGAAAAAAGGCCTGATGTGAGCTTGGCTTCATGAACCGGTCCGGCTGGGATAGAAAACATGTTCTAGAATCAATCAGCAGCTGCAGAGAAGCTTCAGGCTGAATCACTTCTTCACCAAATCTAACAGTTACATAAGATTCAATTTAGTCTGTTTGATTTATAAAAGCATCGGAGCAACAAAGCTGACTCCAATTTTAGGTGAAAAGACCATCAAATATTTTATGATTGAGTAAAAGAGGAAGACTTGGTTTTTAAATGTCTTTAAAGGTTTTTAATCATTCAGTATCTTCACTCTGATATCGTATTTGCTAAATGTCTCAAACACAACCAGACGGACGGACGGACATGTTTTTTCTCTACAGATGCAGGAGTAGAACCAACTAGAAATGAGTCCTTTGGGGATTTTCCTCTTCATGTAATAAGAGCTGCCGTCTTCAGTCAGGTAAATAAACGTAATCTGTTGGTGAATAGTGACTTTAGGACCTTTATTTCTAGACTTTGGGTCTTTTTAAAACATGTTCAGGACATTTTGAGCCTCTGTCAGGTAGAAAAACATCAGTTTTCTCTGAAATGCTGCATATTTACGCTGCTTTTTACCACCAGTTGTTTTCATGTCGAAGCAGAAAGTTCAGTCTTGGTCTCATCTGTCAGTTCAGGCCTACTGACATATTTTATTTTGTAAACTTTCTCATGACTTTACTCCAGTTTAAATGGGAACTCCTCCCTCTGCTGAACTTCATCAGGCTGAATGTTTTAAATGGAAACTCTGAGGCCTGGAAACAGACGAGGTTCTTTCTCTCCCACTAAATGCTCCATCATTGGTCAGAGCTGAACTAAGGCAGGAATAATACTTATTGCATCAATCATTCCTTTAGCTGTGAAACTTGTTAAGCAAAGCGGAGCTTTTTGTGCTGCAGACTGAAGTGTTTGTTTGCTGCTGATTTTTTAAAGAGTTAATTTGTGTAAAATTATGTATCATTTTCTGTTGTTTACATTTGCGAACATCAGTAAACACCTCCACACCTGAACCCCTCGCAGCGTATTCAGATCCTGACCTTTTCACTGACATGCAGCCTTTAGCTGCTTGATGCAGCTGTGCTCTGCTAACCGGCCCGGCTGAAGCGGCGCCTACCTGGCTGAACACATACAGCTCCTGGTCCTGCGGGGAGCTGATCTCCATCAGTCCAGCTGGGCTGGGCTGAGGCTGGTTGGGGATGACGGCCCTGATGCGGATGTTGCCCAGATCAGCGATATACAAAGTGCCGTTGGGGGCGACAGCCAGGGAGGAGGGGGCTTTGAGGCGAGCGTCCCGGGCGTAGCCGCCATCGCCTGATAAAAGAGGAAGAGTCCATTATTTCTGGATGAACAATAAGGATCTTCAGCTGGAAACACGGATCGCTGATATTTCCCTGAAAGGCACCGAGCAGCTAAACCAGCTGCCTCATAACATGAAGACCTGATGGTGGCGCCGAGGCTCTTATCGGTTTGCCTCAGGAGTCAGGCTCGTAGGGAAACAGCATTCCCAAAGCAGCAGGAACGATGACCACCTCGATAGTGACCTCATCAGACCGCGGTGTCCGCTGACTGAATGCGTTCGCACGCAGGATGAGAGGGAAGGTGAGGGTCTTCTGATGCTGTCAGCAGAGGGGCAGGGGCCTCTGATGGCTGCGTACGGACAGCAGGATGGCGGTTTATCTCCTGACAGCATGCACAGTCCTCATTGGCGTGTGTGTGTGTGAGGAAACGGCGTGCTCACGGACGGGCGCGCGTTCAAAGACACCACGCGGCTGTTTACGGTGAAGGGGATGGAAACGGAAAGCTTCTGAAGAGAGTAATCATCTGTTAACAGCAAGACATGATTGAAAATATGCAAAGTACAATCCAAGAAATAGGGATGGTTACAGCCCATTGGCGTGTGGCGTGGCAGAGACACTTCCCTCCGCTCTGAATAGAAGGAGAGGCAGATTTTTATGAGCGGAATTAAATGATAAAATCACATCCTCTGACACTTACAATGAAAGCAAGGCCTAACCGTCAAAGGAACATCTGCTTATTTGTTGGGCCTTTTCCTCCTCTCCTTTCAGCACTTTTTTTAGGTGCCCTCCGATGACATACCAACCGGTTAAAACATTCACCGTCTAAAAGGAAGCTTTTTCTTCCAGCAGCTGTAATTTGAATGGATTTGAAAGGTTTCTCTTGAAGCTGGTTCCTCCTGAAATGTAGCTGCAGGTTTTGGCAGAGAGGAGAACAGAGGGAAGATCTCCCGCTCTGCTTCCTGCATCCAGGTACTCTCTTAGTCAAATGACATCCTCTGTTATGACATTATAGCTCCTCTTCTCTCTGCTGCATGTTTCACCATTTACATAAAGCTCCTTATTGTTTTTTTTTGGTATGTTTCAAGCGAGAAACGAAGGCAGCCTCTCCCAGACATTTGGATTCCAGCTGAGTTGAATAATTTAGTCTGACTGAAAGTAGAGAAGGATACATTGCAGGAGATAGACAAGAGGAAGACACATTCTCAAGCACTGCTAATAAATTTATCAGACAGCTGGGACCTAAAGGCTGAAAGCTCCACTCTCTGGATATCTACACATACTTACTATTTCAAATCATGTTAACCTTTAAAATTGTCCAGTTTTTTGTTTTCGCTTAAATATCCTCCAGAGCAGAGAAGATATGATCAAAATTGATTCCTAAATGCTGTTTTGCCTCCTAGGACTGTAATCCTATTAGACCTAATCTAATACTCTGACATTACCTAATCTTGCATTCATGTGTGTGTCTTTGCGTCTGTGTGATGACCCACCAGAGAAACAGTCGCAGTTGGGGTCTATCTTACAATCGCAGTCGGTGGGGGCTCCAGAGATGATCGATATCTCCCCGTTGGTGGACACCTGTGGGTTTGACAAAAACCAATGCATTCAACATGAGCATGAAGTTCTGCAGGAGGTCACTGGAAATCATTTCTAAAGCCTCTGCTATGATCAAGCTTTCTGAACGACACAAAAAGAAAAGAAAGCAATAAAATAATAGAACACATCACAATAAATAACAATAAATACTGACATATACCTGCAGGGGCTTGCAGGCAAATCCTTTTTCATTTATAATTTCATTCATTAATAACTGAGCTAGCTTTACTCTGACACCCGTAAATAAAAGTGCAGCAGTTAAAGCTTTTGTTGGGCTTTCAGTTCCAGGAGGATCATCTTCCCACATCCAACCTTTCCTCGCCTAACATGGTGGATGCTCGTTCCACGCCAGCTTCTTCCCTCACATGCAGACTACATCTGAGGGTTTGTTCCAAAAAAGTTAGAAAACAATCCACTGGACTTTGATTCCAACTTTGAAGACGTTTTGCTTAAATTCCAGGAAGCTTTTTCAATTTAAATACCAGAAATATTGAATTGAAAAATTTTGCGAGATGCGAAGCGAAACGTCTTCAAACTGGGAAACAAAGTCCAGTGGATTGATTTCTACGTTTTTTGGAATAACTCTGACCTGGATGACTGAGAATCTTCACCAGCTCTACAAGAGTTTATGAATTCAGTGAGTTTTGATAGTTTAAAAAAAGCTATACCTGATTTCTTTTGTTTGTTTGGTTAAGAAAAAATGATTTTTTAGATCAAGGACGTAGGTCTAATTTCCATTTTGGTAAGGACACTATCGGACCTAAGCTTCATTTTACCTTTGCAAAAATATGCCTGCTTTTTTAATGCCTGACGTGAGCATCGGGGTGCATTTCGTTTAAAGAGAAAAGCAGCGTTTCTTGCTACATTTATACTAATTTTATCAGCACTGCACACATTAGATGCTGTTTATCAATGTTTGACTCTGATTAATGTGGAATTAATTATTTTCCACTTTGAAAAGGTTTGCATTTAAACGTACCAGTGACTAAGACAGTAGGTAAATATGTTCCTATTTAACCAAATCTAGTCTAAATATGCCGGTTATATGTGGACTGATCCTTTATTTCCTTTTGAAGATATAGAATTGTGCAAAAGGTAAACGGGTGAAACACTCTTATTTTTTAATGATCTCTCTGTATCATGAAATAACGCAAAATAACACATTCAAGGAACGGCAAATATGTTTATTGTATTTACATTTAGTGGCATCATCTATAAAACACAACACTAAAAATTTGACTAAATTTATTCCAATATAAAATCACTTTTAACAATTATTAAAAGGAAACACCTTCTTGTCTGTAATGTAATAATATTCAATATAAACAGCCGCATTCAAGCATTTTTACCAAAGACTAATGTTTGTATTAATTAACTTAACTAATAAAATCAATGTAAATATTGTTCCTCTGTTTGTTATTGACTTTTTCTTATTTTTAAAAGTAGAAATAGTCAAAGAAATATTAACATTATGTGGAACCGTAATTATGCTTTCTAAACAAAAACAGCAGATGTTTAGGCGCCATCTTGTGTTGTTATTCTCTATAAAAGAAATAAAACCTGCTATTTATATCTGAACTTCCTCAGAGGGTCATAAAATGAAAACAGTAATAATAATGAAGTATCGTTAAAATGGAAACCTTCACATTTTCTTTTTCAGTCGGCTAAGAATCAGCAATCAGCAGCTTTCGCCTGTTTTAGTTTAGATAGAATTACGTTTTTTTTCATTAGGACTAGTTTTGTAGCCTAATATTAATTTCAGTAACGAGAGTGAATAAAATTCTTATTTCGTGCTCCAAGCACGCACAAACGCATACGGACTAGAAAACAGCCAATCAGGAAGAGAAGGCGGAACTTGAGGCAGAGCAACCAATGAGAGTGGAGCTAAACAGGACAGTGACTGATTTAAGGGACAGGAAAGACGGAGCGGCAGCAGCTACTGAGCTGCCAGAGAAAAAGAATAGGCTGTGATCACACACACTGGCTGATTTGGAAATTATAAACATGTTTTTCAAATCCAATTGTTGGTAGGGACAAATAGGTCTGTCCAAAATATTGGTAGGGACATGTCCCTATGGTCCCTATGCAAACCTACGCCCATGTTTCAGATAATGTATCAGAGAGGAAATCCCTCATTTGATAATCAGCTGATTATGTGATAAACAAATTCCGGCTTTGTTTAGTAGGAATAAGGAGGAAAAACATGACGGCTTTTTTCTGCCAGTGGGATGAAGGATGGAGCCTTTAAAATATGGCAGATTATGTCAGAAACGTTTCCAGGAGAATCCTTTTCCCTTAAAACAGAAGATGGCAACTAGATTTTCAAAATGTGCATCTGAGCAAACAAGGCAAAAACAAGAGTTTTGGAGCAATGCCTCTTGGACAGATGGGACCACAGAGGAGATGTTTGGCCAGAAAACACAGCAGCAGGTCTTTGGGCTAAGCTAACAGGCTTCAGCTCCATCATTCATTTATAAACATACCGTAATAATCACCAATACCTTCCGTCTGAAAAGTTGATTTGCATTTCAGTTTTTTGTTTATCAAGCATGTTGGAAATTTTAAACTACAAGTAGGAAGATATAAATTTAAAAAAGATTTCATCATGTTTACCAAAGGAAAACACCTCCATTTCATGCAGGATGGGGGGACCTGCTTAGCTGCTCTGATCGGGTTTTTATTTTCTTTTAGTCTCAGCAGGAGGGAAGCAAAAACTTAAATCATTTCCTGAGGTGTTGCATGATGGAAACTGGACCTTTGATTTAAACTAATATGACAAAGTTAGAAATGGGTTTAAGTAATTTCCCTCTGGGATTATTAAAGTATGTCTGATTCTCTGAGATGATCTTCCTTTAACAGTCTCTATTTGGCTCCAATCGACCTCCAATGCAGCCACAATGAAGCTAATTTGTAAGCTAATGATTGCAGCTTCAATGTTGCTCCATTAATATGCATAATGAATAACTTCACTGTTTGTATAAAAGACTAAAATAAAAATCCAGCATGTATTAATTTCTGCAGGCCTCCATGTTTTGGCCAGCTGCCCTGCGTCCATGTGACAGACAGACGCGTGTGGATCATGAAAGCAGATTGCATACGGAGCCAAACACTCGCTGCAGCCAAGGCATGCTCCTCTCACTAGCCTTACTAAACAACAACAACAAAAAGAAAAACAATTGATGCTAAACAGTACAAGAAGCAACTGCTGTCAGCTGTTAACCATGAAATGTTGCATTTAATTTGACTGTCATTCTTCATCCCCTGTGCAATATATGCTTACTGTGTCTGTGATCGGCTTTTAATTGAATATCTCTTGGATTACACACCATTTGCATCAGTCAGACGTGGTTTTTGATGTCTTAAACACACGACAGAAATCAGATAGAAAACGCTGCACAAATATTCATTCATCAGTGCAAACTGAAAACACGCCGTTATTCATTTCATTTCACCACTTAGCTTGGTTTGACAGTTTAAGGGTCGTTTACGCATAAAAGCAATAAATGTTAGAATAAATAAATGCAACAGTTAATTGTTGTTGCTGTGGCTCACATAGTGAAAGTGCTTTATAATATGCATAAGATATGTTTAAATATAATGTCTTTATTTCCAGTGTTATAATCTGGAGGTTTGGATGTGAGCTTCACAGATTTGCGTTTGATAAATAAAATAA